CAGCAGAGTCCGGATACAGACTTTTGACTTACATCATGAACATCGACTGAAACACCCCCTCACAACAGAACCTGATTCCACATATTTTCTTGTGAAGCTGGACATAAACTGTTACAAACACCGATTGTAATACTTCTCCGGGGCATGTCTTGTATCTGACATTTCACAGTTAAACTGCACCTCTGAACCTGCTTTTTTACTCCGCACTCGTTCACGTCACTTTTCACTTTCTCTTTCACCCTTTCCCACTTCTCTTTCCGACATTTTATGCCATTGGCATTTGACAATGTAAGTGCAACAGGAGCAGTACAGTATATCTAGGCAATTGTGTATAGCATATACAGCTTTACCGACCGCCAAATCACCTGTGGCAAGATGGAGAGTATGTCTAGCGAACTGCAAGAAGCATTGGGGCATATTCATCAGCAAACACAGGGTGCTTCGACGATGAGTGTGCACGCACAGATGCTTAACGCTGAGAACATTGCCATGAGAAACGTTGCCGATCAATTACAAGCAATAATGCTAGCGCCCCAAAATGAGAGCGCAAACATACTGGAAGTGACGCTGCAAGAGAGAGAAAGACAACTGAATAGTGAACAGTATCAGCTACGACTCATTCATGGATGAAATGCCGCAGGCAAACGAAAGCCAAAATCATGAACAACTTTTCGTTGAACATATCAGAGGACAGGCAGCTTCATTGAAAGTTATCGAACGCAATGCCTACACTGCGTTTAGCTATCGTGACACTGAGCTTCATGCAGAATTGCAAGTGTACCAAATGGAGCTAGCCGCAGAGAAAGTGGAAAAGTTCACTGTTCACATCTACATTTCGAGGCGAAGATAGTGAAAGAGGCTATGGACAAAATGGAAACTGCTATGAGGGACAGGGAAAGGGACCAAATCAAGAGAGCCAATACCTCGCGTGTCGAAGCAAACGCATTATCGAAGACGAACAACGTCAGAGGAACACCAGGTTTGGTGGTCAGGGTGATTCAGAACTTGGCGAGAAGGTAAAGAATCTAGAGAGAATCATAGTCGTCGCTGATAATGAGAAGGTGCTCAAAGAGCTACGGAGAGAAAGCGTTCGGTTGAAGGTTGAACTTCACCTTTCTCAGCGAATCGTGATGGTCTTGACGGTAAAGGAGGGATCAAGCCACCGGCTGGTACTTCCTATCACGAGAGCAAAAGGATGAGGACTTGGAAGAAGACTTTGTGCCCTTGGATAAAGAAGCAGAAAGACTGATGAGAAATGAGCGAGACGAGGTCTATGAATGGCACTCTGATGCTCATGATCAATGTTACCAAGAAGCAGAAATAGTTGGAGACCAAGAAGCAAAGGCCAATAAACTGAGGAGTGAACTCTCAGAAGCTACGGCAGCGTCATCGTCAATGTCATCACCTACAAGAGTGTCAAGAAAAGAGGAATCGAAAGTTGTGGTACCTCCTGGGCCAAGGGTCAACGATTTGGGGCTGTGGAAGGCAAGTCTGATTCAAGCCATCATCGTTGCCGCCAGTGACCCCGATCACCAACCTTGGATAGATTGGACCAAAGAAGCTATCGATGATCCTGAACAAGTTGAAAAACTCCCGAGGTCCAACTACGATTTCGCACGATTGATGCAAAGCTCGGAATGGCTCTGCGCAAAGTAGTGGCCGATGCCAAGGAAGATGGAAACAATGTTGCCATGAAAGTAAGGCCAAGAATCAATGCAAAAGGAGCATCATCCAATTTGATCAAAGGTCGAGAGATATTGGCATTGATCCTATTCAGTTTCAAGACGACATCCAATGTTGAAGTTCTGTATACTTCTATGCGTTGGGTCCTGCCTAATAGCTGTAACAGTCAGTAAACACATTTTCCTTAAAACGCACCCTCCAAAAGTGCACCAAGTTTTTTCCCTTTTTGCTGCTACTCTTGCCCGGCCTTCTTGCTCACTGCTGCTATTTTTCATTGTTTTGTTTCAATTTTCAATTGGCAATTGGCGCAATTCAACTTTCAAGTGGCAATTTGCATTTTAAATTGGTGATGGGGTTTAGTGGGTGATGGGGCCATGGGAAACTTCAATGCCTGGATCTCAGAGTGGCCATCCTTTTTCATTTTCTATTGAAATGTGCTCCACATGATGCTCAACTTTGTTTAGGTCCCAGTGTTGGTATTTGACTTTTGGCACTTTTTTGAGGCCGTTGCAGCGCCAGATGTTCCACCTATCAGACGTGTATGTCCGATCATTGTGCCAGTGTATCGCGCCTACCATCAAACAAGAGTTTCCGACTTCAAGAAGAAATTGATGGAGAAACGCGTGGAGGTTTTGTCAGATTACACACCAGGTCTACCATGCTTCACCCATGACAAAGAAGATCCTACGGGCGATCACATGCGTAGCTTCAGCGAACGATAGAGCGTCACGATGGAGGAAGCTTGGCATAGGTTCAACGGTGAGAAACTTCATGTCGTATTCGCTCTGCAGATGTTTGCAATGGGCTATGCAGGAGACACCTTCAGAGCAGAGTAAAGGATTCTGACAGAAGATGAGGAGACAAGCAAATCCAGAAAGATGTCCGAACTGGTCCGGAAATGCGTCAAGACTTTCTATGATGATGTCAACACCTATCCATATTTCCGCTAGGAGCACAAACAAATGGGGCAGTGTCATTCTGGTAGCCTATGCGCAAAAGAATATTTCAGTGCCTCCCGCAGCCAGCGAACATTTGAAGAAGATGGCAGAGAAGCGTCGACGAGAAGTTCAATCAGCGTGAGAATGTACCAGGGGCAAAGCCATCAACCGCGCCCGAACTTTCTTCTCATTCTGGTCCACGTACTTCCTTATCGTCATCGTGGCAACCAACACTCGATCCGAAAGGGCAAGGAAAGAGTGAAGCTCCGAAAGCGCACCCAGGACCACGTCCCAATCAAGAAGAAGAAGCATAGATATGGGTCAAAATGGTATGAGTTACGCCGCATGGACGCAGATATCACCGACGGTTGACGCCGCAAAGGATGTGTACACTGAACCTCGAATGATGCTCAATTTAGGAACTACCTGGTCTTGACGAGGATCTAGGGAGCGTGTAGCCAATTCACCTACCTATTGCGCCCAGTTCCTTTTTGCGTATATCGCAAAAAATGCTGAGCCATATATTTCATGTGTGAAGTCCGCTTTGTTCTACCAGACTTTGTAGTTGCGACTTGGGGTCTCGCGGCAAACTTTCATAACGTGCGCCAAGCACTACCCTTGTATTGAACTGTGCAATCGATGATTCAAAATCAACCTTGCATGGGGGGTGCCACTGGAAGTGCAACAGCAGTACAGTAAATCTAGGCAATTGATTATAGCGTATACAGCTTTGCCGGCCGCCAAATCACCTTTGGCTCAAGCGCCCACATGAGAAAAATAACGCGGGACGTCCTTCATATGGACATGGAGGTGACTAACTGTTGTTTTCGCTGCAAGCTGTTGTTTAACACCCGCACGCAGTATTTAGCTGCACCTCGAACAACGTTTTGCACCCCGCTGTGCTTCACTCCGTAGCGCCTCTCTTTCCTTGACCCTTTCATTATCATACAAACATGCCTGATGCCAGAATAACTCTGCGCCTGAACGCTTTCCTTTCATCCGTCGTCTAGCTCATTTTTAGGTTTTTGCATGATCCACATGAGTTCACATCTGAAAACTTTCATCTTGGTGTGCGGTGCCCCGCGGTGCGGTGCGCCTCTCTTCTTCCTCTCAACTCTGACTTAGTTAGCTCGTGTGGTCCACGTCATTTGGCATCAATCCTCATCCTGACTTTGCTGGTATATGCGACCACCCACTCAAGGGCTTCTGAAATTTCTGCATGTGTTTTGCTCTAAACATCATCGCGCAGGGCCATGATGGCGACAATGTCCTGATTCAGAATCACGGTCACCGCTCCGGCGATTGTTGCCTTCCCAAGTTATTTTTCCAGACAATGCGCCCAACTGTTCGGATCATTTCCCGTTGGTTACCTAGAATGGTGACATCGCTCACACCGACCAACAAACACGGAGAAGCCTGCAAGATCCCTGGACCAACCTCTGGGTACCAACACGTCAGATCAGCGCAGTTCAAAAGTCTGCTCCAGCACAAACGGGCCTGCCGGACACCGCAGAACAAACTCAAAGGCGCGGCCGCTCCCGATGGTAGGCATCTGCGCATTTCGAACACATCGCTGCGCAATGGGACACTTTCAACCATACTCCACAGACTTTGTCACTGCTGCTGGTCTAGTCATGTCCCAGGTCTCAAGATGTCTCAAGTCACAGCGCCTAATCATTACATCCAACGACGCATGGGGACGGGTCAATTCCCTCGAGCCTTGGTCCACCATGTCTTCGGTCACGAGTCGTAGTTGAGTTTGCATTGCACATTGTGGCATGCCCAAATATTCTCACGGTGTTTGTGGTGAACTGTGTCGCACTGGGCCGAAGTCCAGAACCACACTCTGTATTGATGCAAGGCTGAACAAGCCAACGGACCGTCCGGCAGAGATCCATCCACATTCACAACCTTCCTTGAAGAATGGGCCACATGCCTGGAAGCGGTGGTTGTTACCAGAGAGGCGATTCTTTGGCCGAAACGCAAAGAAAATTTGACAAACTAGATAAAACAAACAACCAAAGCGCGAAGCAAAGGCCGCAAACATGCCAAATTTCTGACCAAGGATGTTGCCATCCTAGCCTGAACAGTCCATCCAAACTACCCCATCCCTTCCAAAGGACACGCACCAGCTTGCGCCAAGCCACCAAAGGTGCGCAGCGCGGACAGGGAGGGGAGCACGAAGCGCGCGCTACAATTATACAGTGTTGTTGCAATGCGGGGGCAAGAGATTCTTTAATATGTGTATATATAATGTATCCAAGTATGTGTGTGATGTATATATGTATATATACATGTATAAATGGCTAGCTATTTGGCTTCAAGGTGCAGGGTCAAAGATTTGGTGAACAATAAACAATAACATTTTGACGCCCAGCGATGCCATGCCCGCCTTTGCCTGAAGTGGATGAACCGATTGAAGAAGCAAGAGAGTCTTTGCCTGGCCGAAAATCAGTTACATCTCTCGCTTCGGATATTGACTCGGAGCTGCTCAGAGCTGTTCCTATGGGCTTGTGTATGGAGGGCTGGGGGAAGCATCTAAGTACAACTCGCAAGTCCAACGACTATCACTTGAGCCGTCCTGTTGATGGAATCGACTCTTTCCTTAGTCACGACTGGAAGACGAGTCGTTGGCTGAAAACTTTGACCTTGTTGGTATACTTCAACAGCGTGCCAGCTGCCGTGGCAAGTTTGCTCATGTGCATCCTGATTTGCCTGCTCATCAGCTGCTTGGCACACTTTGCACCCATGGTGCTTTTTGGTTAGTGTTTGCCTTCTGGTCTACAAGAATAACATGGTCTTTCTTGACAGGCTTTGCATCTCGCAGCATGATGACCACTTGAAAAGACAAGGCATCCTTGCATTGGGTGGCTTTTTGTCCAAGTCCAAAAGGTTGGATATTTCACTCGTTTGTGGACTGCCTTTGAGTTGTCGTCCTTCTTGAAGCATGATCAAGCAAAGGCCAAAGACATTGAGTTTGCGCCTGCGAGTATGGGACCGCTGATTCTTTGCTTCTCGGTGTTTGAAACACTCCTGGTGGGTTGCTTTCACCTTCTGATCATTCAGGACGTGCAGGTGAGGAGCGGGGAGATGGATCCTTTTGTCGGGGAGCAAGAGGATCGGTATTGGGACTTCGTTTTGGCCGTCCTAGTGATTGCTGCGCCAGCATTGCTGCTGATCCTACCGGAGCCTCTATTTTGGGACAAAGCAGATGCTAGCCTTGCTGCAGCTGAAAAAGCAGCTGGATGATTTTCAAATTCGGGCTTCTCAGTGCAGTTGTTGCGAGATGGAGCATCGCCATCCTGACACTGGTGAGGAGTTGCTTTGTGACCGGAAACTTGTGTTCCAGGTGGTTTCCAGATGAGAGTGCCGAGGGCCACTTGGACAAATTTGATGAGTTGGTGCGGAAAGAGCTCAGAGGATTTGTGCAGGAGATCCTGGGATCAGGTGCTCCACATTTCCGCTACGTGATAGCCAACACAGCAACCCCTGTGCTCGGAATCTTTTGTCACTATGTGTACATGGCCGTGAATGATCCCTTTGACTGGACAGTTCTGGGCTGGATGATTGGCTGGTTCCAGATACCACCACTTGTGCTCCTGTCATTCTGGGAGATGCTGCTGTGTTGGAGGATAGGGGCAAGATTCTATAGTCGAGTGCCCTTGTGGATCGTTCTTCCATTTTGCATGTGTGTCGGCATCCCCATCAACAACTTACTGTGGTTTCAGTATGCAGTGATGAAATACACTTTCGGATTCAGGTTCAATTGGCCTGTCGCTGGCTCGCTGGCTTTCATGTGGGTTGTGGTTGTCATCCCCTACGTCCGGGAATACTCCCATCTCTTGTGTCCAAAACGGGGTGGCTGCTGCACTGCCCGTATCTCATAGCTCGTTTTTTTGGATTGCATTTGCAAGTACAGGCAGAGCAGCGCACCTATTTCCTTGTGCGCAAAAGGGCCTCCGGTCATTGACATGGTCTCACATCAAGTCCGGTTCACTTGGTCCATTTCTATCCTCAAAAAATGAGTGCCTCTGTAACACTCCCCCTTCGTGGCCTCTTGCCACGAACTCAAGCTCAAGGCCCGCTAAGGCATTTTGCCTTCTTCTCTCAGTCGACTTTCGCTGATCCTGTCATCATCAGGCCAGTCATAGTCGTACGGCGACTCCGCACTCCCGCTCAGGGACCTGGTTTGCCTCCATCAGCATCCCATAGGCACCAGTCGCCTCCTGCTGCAAGCCCGGGGGCGGTTGCGGACATGATGCCATCGCCTGCGGCTGCTGCTCACCTCCACCTCGTCGATGCAACCTTGCACGATGCCGCACTTCCCAAGCTTCCATCTGCTTGTGCCCTTGTGGAGTCCGGGGTCGACCAGTCTGTCGTGATCGCGGGGAGTGTTGACGAGATCGTGCCACTTCCACTCGACTTCTGGCATCGCTGTCGCGATGTAGCACGGAGTTCCATTTTCCGTGCGGCCCTCCACCAAGGTCAACTGTAGTTGAGGAACTTCAGCATCCGGTTGCTGCTCCATCATGATGGCCTGCCTCATCAGGTCGTTCCGATGGAACATGCGGTTCCCGACCTGCACCCAGTAAATGGGTTCAGATCCCGGTGGTCTCTCCCAGTCTGAGTCTGTCAGTGCTTGCAGCGCCAACCTCAGTCCCTCTGGAAGTCCAGTCCATCGCTCCATGGGCGGCATGGGAGGCGGAGGTTTTCCAATCCTCCCTGCAGTCATCGCTGTTGCTCCTGGAAGTAGCGCCGTGGATGCACTCGCCGTTGAGTTGATCGGCGGGCTTTCTCCCACAGGTCCTCGTCTATCTGCACTAGCCGATGACCTTTCCGTCCTTTCCGTTGTCATTCCCGTGCCCACCGGATCATGCACTCGTCGACGGCGCAGGTCAGCTGCTTCTTCAGCCCTCATGTCTTCCGGAATGCGAAGGTGCGGAGGGAGCGTGTGCTCTTGTCGGGCCCACTCTCCAACTGGCCTCGTGCCCACATAGTAGCTCGCTGCTTTTGCTCCATGCACCGGGCTATGTAGTTCAAAGAACGTGGAGCCGTTCCACCTCCCCTCGATTTTGTTGTTCATCCGGCTCTCCCTCGTCGGCGGCTCAATCCACGAGTCTTCTGAAGGTCGGCCTGGTTGTTCTCCACCAATGTATTTGATGGTCACCCTCCTGCCCGTCAAGATCTGCTCATCTCGCAGTGGATATGAGCTGTGGAATGGATGGCAATTCTGATACCTCATCTTGCAGTGGACCCTCACCACAAAGTTCTCCACCACCTGCCAACGGTCTGTGGTTCCTGTTGGAGGTACATGGAATGGAGGATGCCACCATGGTTCATGCGGCTGTGCTCTCGGTGGGCCGCCATCATCCGCCTGCAGCATTCTCACCATGGCTCGCGGGCGCATTGTGGTCTTCTGGTCACCACTCTGACCCTGTCGGGAGCCCGTTGGGCTACTGTCAGGAGGATGGGTTCCCCTGGCGGGTTCATTTTGGGCCCTCGCCACTTTTCTTCTGGTCTGGTCCGATCTTTTCTTTTCTTTTGTATCTTCCACCATGGGTTCATTTCGTGCCCTCATGGCGGTTTCCCCTGCCTTGGGAGCAGGTCCCCCCAGCAATGGTTCATCTTCCCTATCCCATTTTTTCTGAATCTTCCTCAACCAGGTGACTCCTGCCAGCATGAGTGCAAGCGCCACCAAATCTACCAGCTGCGATTCAGCACCACTCGCAAAGAGCGCCGCAGCACACAGGACTGCCAATGCCCCTCTCATGATGGTCCAATCATCTTCTGCTTGGCACTCCCGCTGCTTCACAGCCATTGCCTTCACTTGTGCCTGGCTCCCGCTGTGGTTCTCCTTCATCGCGATCTGGTTCACAAATGACTCAAAGGACGGTCCCATGAGTTGCTTCGTGAGTCCATCAGCCGGTAGTTCTGTCCCCTTGACATGATGTGTGTACCACTGCCGCCCTCAGACCAGCTGCACGTAGTCGAAGATGACGGGTCCTCCACGCACCCACATCACCCCCTGACACAGTGCCAGTGCACTTTTATTGTCACCATACAGCGACCTTCTCACATTCTCAATGCCAAGGGCTTCGAGCAAAGTTGCCACTCCCTCAGCCTGCTGGAAGACCTCCGTGTAGGCCACCAACTCCGCTTCCGCTGTTGAGCCCGTGATGAATGGCTGCCTTGCCGAGCTCCACAAGATGGGGCAACCAGCTACCATCACAATCGTTCCGCGAACAGACTTGTAAGCTTCCGCTGCTGGTGCAAATGATGCATCTGCATATGCTTCAACGTCAGCCTCTCCCCTTGGGAACTTAAGCTCTTCCTTCTCGCCGAGTAGGTGTTCACCTACCTTCCGGAAGTTGATGCCACGATGAGCAGTGTCCTTCAGGTATGTCAGGATTGCTCTTGCCTGTTCACATACTTCGCTCGGACGACGGTGCATTGCTCGGCTCAGAACTCCTGTGGCGTGACGGACATCTGGCCTGCCCCTGCACGTAACCCACTGAAGTTCTCCAACGAGGGTCTGTGCCTCCCTCAACGTTGTGATATCGAACTTCTCATCCTCTGCCTCCTGAAGGACCGTCCCCTTCCACACCGACGGGCCCGTCACTCCCTTCTTGTCACAGAGCTCTCGAGCACTTGACTGCCCGAGCACTCCCAGATGGCCTCCACCTTACGGAGCACGGATCTGACTTCCTCCGTGCGCCCCACCATGATCAGGTTGTCTACATACGTCCCCAAGTAGGCCTTCACCTTACCATCCAGGTCCACGATCTTCCACACATTGGCCTCCGCCAACTGTTTCATTCGTCGTGCCTGTCCATTACAGCTCCATGTCGCTCCTCTCAAGCACTGATTGCGATGACGCGTCCAGTCCTCTGGTGACTCTCTCAACCCATACAAGGCACCCTCTGCAGCCCACATTGTTCCAGGTGGCACTATCCCCAACTGGGTCACCAGTTGAGGTGGTTTCACGAGGGTCGCCCGATGTGCTGCACTTCTCTTCGGTGCCTGTACGAACGCACTCTTGATGTCCGTGGAACCACATGTCCAGCCCCTTTGGCTTGCGACCATCATCAGGACCCTCAGTGCCACTGCATCAATGCCTCCTGTTGACGTTGTTACGGTCTCATCAGGTGTACCGAAGTTACCACACCCCACAATCCTTGCCTTCCTTCTCCCACATGGTGCCTTGCGGCTACACAGTAGCTTGCCCGGGATAATCTCGATGTAGATGCCAGATTGCACAAGTGCCTTCACCTCCTCAGGCGTTTTCCTCACTAGTGTGCCCGTGTTCTCCAGCACCATGACCTCACTTTCCACCGGGGGAATCCACAACTCTTTCGAGGATTTGTTTCGTTCCGACCAAGTAGGTCTGCAACACCTCTGCTTCCTGTGGAGTCGCTTCCTTCTCCCCCGTTCCCACTGCTTTCATGATGTGGGTGATCTCTTGTTGGTCTTCTCGAATTCTTCGATCCAGCCACATAGCATCTCTTCTCAGTTGCCTAATGCACGCATCTGCCTGGCCTTCTGGTGATATGCTCATGGCCACTTCGTCCACAATCACCTGTTGGAGACCTTGTCGGAGTTCATTCATCACTTGCACCTCTTTTGTGATGCTCTTGATGCCCTCCACAACGATCTCCTCCACCTTCTTCTCTTCTTTCGGCGTTTCACACACCCTGCACTCTCTTTCAACTGCGACTTTTTGGAGTCCACACCCTTGACACTCTTGGTATCCGTTCAGGTCCACAGTGTTTCGGGATTTGCTCAGCGCCTTCACCGCTGCATAGACTTCCTCCCCCCAGGTCGGCGGCCTTGATGATGTAGTCGATGAGCTGGTTGTTTACCCTGCAGTCGATACCTTCGGTCTACCGCCTCCTGTTCCTCAACCTCAGTCATCAACAGTCCATGGACCTGGGTTTCAAAGTCATCAGCTTGAGCATCCTCCTCACAACCGCCATGATCTTCGTCATGATCTGGTGAAGGGGGTTGTGCCTGATCATCAAATACCTCCCAAAATTCAGCCGCTTCTTTGAGTTGGTTTGCAATGGAGTGCGGGTTTCCATCGTGCAGTAGTTCCGCTGCATCTTGACCATCACGTTCCGGACGGTTTCGTTCAGGCCCACCCTTTTCAAGATTGCCATCTTCAACGGCCTGAACTCCCCCCTCAATGGTCGCTGCCCGACGCGGCCTCACAGCAACCGTGGTTCGGAACCCATGCCCGTCAATTGTCATCACCCAGTAGGCCCCCGCCGATGAAGCCATGCCCTCTGCTGGACCCATGACAGTTGCCTCGATCATGGGATGCTTCCATTTGTTCCAGCGGCGATGCCAGGTCTTTGTCCGAACCATGGCCTTACAGCCATAGGGGATCAGCCTTGGTAGGTTGAGCCCGAATGCTCTCAGCTGTCCTCGATGCCTCTCCTCTGCTGCGTGCCTTAGTGCCGTCGGCCAGTCACGAACAGGTAGTCCAGCAGACTGTAAGAGTACACTGGCAGCATTCTTCAACACGCCGACCTCAATCTCCGCCCTCGAGTTTCCGGTCGGCTCATCACCTGCAGTGAAGCAGTGCTCCAAATCTCTGGCCGTAGTCCACTCCCGGAACCGCTTCGACACGAACTCCTTGGCCCTGTCTGTCTTGATGCGGAACACCGGAACCTGAAGTGCACGGTACCTTGCAAACAACTTCGACGTTGCAGCTATCACCGTTGCCTCTTTCCGATTCAACAGAGGTGCCGCCAGGGTGAGGTGCTTCACTCCCACATCCTTGAGTTCAGCAATTTGCTGTTCAAATGAAGCCAGCTTCACCTCATCCTCACACACCACTGCTTCTTCCCCATCTCCCTTGAATGGGTTCGGGTCTTGGCTCTCCGGC